GGCCCGTCGCGGGTGTCGACACGTTCGCGACGGTGCTGGGGCGGAGGGCAAAGGCAGCCCAGAAGAAGGCGGTCAGGGCCGCCTCCGGAGCGGTGGCCCCCGACCCCCCAGCGAAGGGAAAGACCGGGGGGGCTCAGAAGAGGACCCCCAGGCGGAGGGTCCCGCGAACGTCGGTCGTGACTTTGACACGAACCGACGGCGACTATCGCGGGGCCCTTGCCACCTTGAGGGGGGAGCATTAATCTCGGGGAGTTGGGCATCGGGGACCGGGTCGCTATAAGATCCGGGGCCACCGGTGCCCGACTGATCGAGGTGTCCGGGGAGGGCCATGCCGAGAAGGCCGACCTACTCGCTGAGTGGATCAGGCGGGTCCTCCCCGACGAGGAGATAACGCGGGTTAATAGGCCGCGTAAAATGGCGGAGATCCGTCTAAGGGACTTAGACGACTCCGTTGGAGTTGAGGAGGTGAGGGGGTGGGTGGCCGATGCGGCGCGCTGCAGCGTCTCCGACGTACAGTGCGGGGCGCTGCAGCCGGCCGCCGGGGGCACATTCAGCCTTTGAGCCCGCCTCCCCCTCACCTCTGCGAAAGAAGTCGCCCAAAAAGGGCGGATAAGGGCCGGTTGGGTTTCGGCCAGGGTGGCCCTTCTCGAGGCGCGGCCTATGCGCTGCCATAAATGCCTCGAGAGGGGCCACACGAGGGCGCTGTGCCCCGGTGAGGCGGATCGCAGCGGGAGGTGCTACAGGTGTGGAGAAGCCGGTCACACCTCCCGCGGCTGCCGGTCGGCCCCTAAATGTCCGCTCTGTACGGACAGGGGCAGACCGGCGGCGCACGTGCTGGGCGCTAACACGTGCATCCAGCGCAACGTGCGCGGACGCCCACCGGGTGCTCAAGGGAAGGCGCCGGTCACTGCGACTTCCCCCCTGGCTGAAGCTCAGCCGGCGAAAGAGGAAAAGGGGGAGCCGAACGGCGGACTGGACGAGGTGCCCAAGCCGCAACGCCAGTCGCGCCAGGAGGCGCGCAAGGGAGGGGCCCCCGACGTAGAGGCCATGGAAGTGGAGGCCCCGTCGGACGGGGGGGATAAGGCCCAGTAATGCCTCGACATCCCCCCCGCCCGATACCAGGCGGTTATGGCCTGATCCAGGCCAACGTGAACCATTCCCACCATGCGCAGGAGTTACTCCAGCAAAGCATGGTGGGATGGGGGTTCACGTTGGCGATCGTGGCCGAGCCCCACCGCCCCCCCAGGGACGGCAGATCGTTTTGGGCTGTCGACAATGGGGCTGCGGGGGACTCGGTCGCGAAAAGATGGCGGTCGGTGCCGGGCGGGCCCGACACGACCGCCATCACCAGCGGCGAGCGGCACGTGGCCGTTCAGTGGGGGCCTATCGCGGTCGTGGGGGTTTACCTCAGGCCCACCAGGCGCCCTGCCCCGTTCGAGGACTGGCTCTCGGACATAGGACAGACTGTCCTGAGTCTGAGGCCGGTCCTTGTGGCCGGGGACTTCAACGCGTGGCACGCAAGTTGGGGTTCCCGGCGCGACAATGAGAAGGGCAGGGTCCTGCACGAGTGGGCGGTGACGCACGGTCTGGTCCTGCTTAATGAGGACCGGACCTCCACCTGCGTGCGGACGCAGGGGGAGTCCATCGTGGATATCACGTGGGCTACCCCCTCGGCCGCGCGCCTGGTTACGGGGTGGAGGGTGGAGGAGGGCACCGAGTCTCTATCGGATCACCGTTATATTACGGTGGAGTTCGGTGCCCTCTCCCCCGTGCGTCGCCAGGAGGTGCGACCGCGATGGGCCCTCAAGAAGCTCCATGAGGACGCCCTGATGGCCTCGCTGGAGGCCGCCTGTTGGGTCCGGGGAGATCTCCCTGAGACCCGGGAGATGGACCCCCTGCGGGAGGCCGAGTGGGTCGGGGCGGCGCTAACAGCGGCGTGTGATGCCGCGTTGCCCCGATCCAAGACTCGGCCCCGGCGGGCTGTCCACTGGTGGACGGCGGAGATCGCCGACCTACGTCGACGCGCCGTCCACCAGGGGAGGATATTCGCCGG